AGAAAAAATGTTATCTTGCTTTAACAAACAAAACAAAACAAAACAAAAAATCCTGCAAACCACTACCTTTTAAACTCAGGTACTGTTGCTTAAAAATACCTACAGAATTCTACTACTCAGCCATAAAAAGGAATGAAATAATGACATTTACAGCAACTTAGATGGGGCTGGAGACCATTATTCTAAGTGAAGTAACTCAGGAATAGAAAACTAATTATTGTATGTTCCCACTTACAAGTGGAGCTAAGCTATGAGGACACAAAGGCATAAGAATGATACAATGGAGTTTGGGGACCCTGTGGGGGGAAGGTTGGGAGGAAGTGAGGAATAAAAGACTACGTATTGGGTAGAGCGCACATTGCTTGGGTGACAGGTGCACCAAAATCTCAGAAATCACTACTAAAAAGCTTAAATTCATGTAACCAAAACCACCTGTTACTCCAATACTATTGAAATACAACAGAAAATAAAATTTCACAGTAATCTTCAAAGCCTTTTTATTATGGTAAACAGTACGGGGGCTTCTGAAAAAATTAAAAATAGGACAGAGAGAGGTTGGTTAACAGATACAAAATTACACTAGAGAGAAACACGCTCTGGCGTTCTTCAGCACTGTAGGGTGAATATGGTTAGCTATAATTTATTGTATATTTTCAAAAGTCTAGAAAAGTTGAATCTTCCCAACACAAAGAAATGATAAATATTGGAGGTGATGGGTATGCTTATTATATGTCGTATATACATATTAAAATATTACTCTGTATCCCATAATTATGTAGAATCATTATGTGTTAACTAAAAATAGAAGGGGAAAAAATAAAAACAACCCCTACAGAATCCTCACCTAGAAATTTTATTGACTAATGCCACTTATCCAGCTCGCCTGTCTAATTTCTTTACCAATGGATGCCTCCAGCATGCTGCATGGGGGAGCCTAGTAGGCTTCACTCTCACAGATGGTTTCTTACAACAAGAGTTAATTTTGTTTGTTTTTTAACTTGTCTGTGTCCATTGTGCTTATTATTAGAAATATGGTATTGAAATACGACAAAAATGTCATGATACCAAAATATCATAAAAATATTATGAAAGTGAAGCAAACAGTGTTTTTGTTAAATAACTTAATGCAGATGAAAAACTTAAAGATGAGTCAATACAAAAAAACATCTATGGGATAAGATGTAGGCAAAACCCTGTGAAAGGTTGCATTGTACTCAGGAGCTTTGTAAGCGTCTTGATATTCTTCCTACACTTTCAGTAAAGCTAAACTATCAGTTATTAACACACATTCTGGGTGTGGTTTGTTTAGGAGTGACACAGAGCTATAATTAGAAGGACCACCTAATATCAGTCTCATTTTATCAGATAAGATAGCTTCTATTATATTCAGCTGAGCACAGGTAGCCTAGGGGACAAGGTAACACAAAATATACCTCTTTTCTTATCTCACACAATGAGCCTTCCTTCTCTTTCTGGTGGAAATAATCAAAATAGGTTTTCTTGTTGTTTTTTTTTTCCCCCACTGGATGGCCATTTACATAGCGCAGTGAACAATGAATTTATGCCATGCAGGAGAGAGAAGTTAATTTTCTTCAACCACCATGAATTCCAACTAAATGTTGGTTGAATAAATTAAGACTGTACAAAGAGGGAAATTTGTTCACAGTAAGGCCAAATTCCTATAATGGATGACAGTTATTTCAGGGAGATTACATTCTATTGGAATTAAGAAAATGAAAGTTGAAGATGATTGAGTTGGCCAATTTCATCAGCAGATCCCTGGGAGGAGGGTTGCAGAATGGGATGGGGGGCAACACAGGTTGTGGTATGATTTATTTTTGTACTGTAAAAGTAGCAGAAAAACACTTCCTAGTCAAGTGGATATTATGCAGTGTTACCATTGGTAACAATCATTGCCAAGTCCTAGGTCATCCTATGTGTTAAGTGATTATAGAGTTTCAGAATTGGCTTATTTGGTGCTAAATAGTTGCCAGATAAAATGTTCTCATTGGAGGACATTCAGAAAAATAAAGAGCATCATATAAAAATGACATCTGACCTCACTACCTGGAATGAAAACTATTAAAGTGTTGTTATTAGTCCTTACAGTCTTTTTTCCCCATGTTTAACCCATTTACTGGTCATTCTACAATGATATCCTAATTGATGAGAGCAAAGTTTTATTTACTCTAGCTATTCCCAATGCAAGGAAATACTGCTAGTTTCCTACCTCTAACTGTTATACCTACCTACTTTTTGCCATCCCTGAAACCCAATCACTTTCTCTTCATGGCCTCTACACTCCTGCACACAGCCCAGTTGTCTGTTCCTTGGCTTACTCTCCTAGTCTGTGTTCCCAGATGTCTTTTATCATTCAGCGTATTTTACCTCACTAGATTGACTTATTCTTCCTGGTATGCAGGTTGTTTTCCATCCATCCTATAATTCTTTTTAGGATCTGTAGAGTTGAGATCATGACCACTATTTTCTCATCTTTTTCTCTGTCCAAAGCAGCTGACTTCAGACGCTTAGGGTCGCATTGCACTCCCTAGCCAAGAAGCTAGGAAGTCAGGGAAGGTGGATGCTAACATTGAGGGAGGGGGCATTCTGTGGTCACCATTGGAAAGAATATGATGTTGAAGACATAACAGGACAGGCACAACTTGAACTTCATCTCACACAGTTTTGAGTGTTGAATCAAGTTCATTTTTCTACCTTATGGCACTCATGTTTTATGTTGTCCTCCATAAGGGAATATTTAAGAGGAATATTCATAGGAATGGGAGATCATGGTTGTATTAATTATTTGGTTGCAAGTTACAGAAAATGATGCTGGCTATTTTAAGCAAAAATGAAATTCCTTAGAAACAGATATCACAAGATTGACAGGAAGAATGAAGAACCAGGCCTGGGAGTTGCAGGGTAAGAGGAACTGCACTGGGTCTCCTTTGTAGAAGCTATTCAGCAATTTCCCCACCTGGAGTCTGGGATAATTGAACTCCAGTGGTTCCTCTGGTGCTGAGGCCCTTTGGTAACTCAGAGTCCTGGGAGACAGAGGTTGACTGAGTTGAGCTTTGCTCATGGCTACCCCCTGACTATCCTGGGAGGAAAGACTGAGGTGCAAGAGCATCCAGGGACTCTGTGTTTCAGTAAGGGAGAAGCCAACCTGCTGTTAGAAGGAGGACATGAAGCCTGGGCATCCAAAACTTGCAACAGTAGTTTTCTTAATTGAGCAATGGATAAGATAGAAAACATTAGCTTGAATTTGGCCCCATATGTGAGGCAGCCTCTTGTGGTGGAAACAGCTGCCAACATACTGTCATAAAAGCGGCTAAAAGCAAAGGTGTTGGAGTCAGAAAAATCTGGTGAAAATCTGGCTCTGTGACCTATAAGTTGTGTGACCTGAAGCCAGTTATTTTACCCATCTAAGCCTCAGCTTCTTAGTTTGCAAGAATGGGGATTAATGCCTATTTCATAGATTTGTGGTCAAGATTCAATGAAATAATAACATGTATAAAGTACTTAGCCAAGAGTCTGATGCACTCTCCATGGGTGCCAGCCATTATTATTAAAACATTTTTAGACTATCAGCTCTGAAATCTGTCATCTCGTATTGTTTGTTTCCTCATCTGTAAAATGAACAGATGAACAACAAGCTTTCAGAGCTGTTGCCCAGTTGACATTGTACGCATGGACACAATTATTTCTAGAAAAGCTTCATTAATGACCCCTCTATGAATAACTGCACAATTCATCTAATACATAGCTTCCATGTCATTTTAGGAAACACTTATTAGCACACAGCAGCCCCTGAATGAATGCCTTAAGGCCTTTCCTAGAAGCTTGCAGTCTGTTGCCACGGAATAGCTTTTGAAGTTTGGGAAACTATAAATGACACATATCCCATGGTAGAAATGAAGATAGAGCTTAGGGGCACACCAGAATAACGTGTGAAAGGAAGCTGTAATAAACATAATTATAATCAGCTTCCTGCCTAAGGATGTTAGAACCATTTTAGCTTAGCTTAGTATTATGCAAGTTAAGACATACCACCGTTTAAATCATCTCTCTCAATATACAGCAACAACACATAGCGAAACCTTGTTAGAACATTGTAGTACCTTTCCTAACTGGGTTCCCTGCCTCTGATCTCCATTTTAAGCAATTTCAGGCACAGATACCAGATTTTCTTCAACAACCTTTATCACATTCAATGGCTCTCAATTTTTAGAGAATAAGTTCTATAAAATTATAGAAATAAAATAGTACAGATACAGTGAACTATACATTATGTAATTTAGAATTTATTTCTTTTGTAATTTTAGTTATATAAATAAGTTTTTAATAGAATAAGTTCATTCCTCCAATCAGCATTTTTAAAACTCCTACCCTGTTTCAAGGCATTAGGTTCTTGGGATATAAGGATGTCTAGAGTACAGTCCCTTCTTTCCAGAGTATATAGGTTAGCGGAATAACATATCTGAAAAAAAAAATACGACATTGTGTAAGCATTTTAATTTATGCACAATGTCTTATGGGATCAGAGAAGAGAAAGCATTTATTTTTGCTTGAAGAGGACAGAAGAGCCTTCCAGTCTAGGCAAAGAAGGAGGTGGGAAAGGATGGGGAAAGGGGAAAGATAAAGGAGAAAGCAAGGAGTGGGAAGATGAGCATGAGGAGGAGGGGGAAGGAGGATGATGATTATGAGGAGGAAGATAATTTTCTAGAAAATAGAAAGCATAGTCATAGAACTCAAAGGCATAGAAATGAACAAAAGCAACTGGGCGCGGTGGTTTACGCCCGTAATCCCAGCACTTTGGGAGGCTGAGGTGGGCAGATCACTTGAGGCCGGGAGTTTGGGACCCGCTTGAGGACAACATGGAGAAATTCCGTCTCTACTAAAAATATTTTAAAAATTTGGCAGGTGCACTGGCGAGTTGCTGTAATCCCAGCTAGCCAGGAGGCTGAGGTGGGAGAAGCACTTGAACCCAGGAGACCAGGAGACAGAGGTGGCACTGAGTGGAGATCACACCACTGCACTCCAGCCTAGGTAACGGCATGAGACTCTGGAAAAGAAAAAAAAGGGATTAAAAGCATTCAGCATGGTGTCTTCAGGGATCTGCAGGTATGTGCAGTAGCTGACCTGTGGGAGCGTAGGAGGAGAGTGGAAGAGTGACAGGAAATGGGATTGGGCATAGGTCAGATCCTGAAGGGATTTTATATGCCAAGCTAAGGCTTGGAGTTTTAGAGATGATAAGGTGTTTAAGGAATAGTTGGACATGATTTCTGTACAGAAAAACCATTCTGAGAGCATTGGGAAGAATGGCTTGGAAGTACAATAGACCGACCGAGAGGTCTGTTATGGCAAACTTGATGCAAGTGTTCATAATGACAACTACCAGCAGAAATTATACTGGAAAAACAGATATAGGCAAAACATTATACTCAGGAGCCTTGTAGTCAAAGCAAAAGCAGATTATACTGGAAAAACATAAATGTCCATTAATAGGCAATGAATATCTACATTGTAGTATGTTCATATGACAGAAAATTATACAGCAGGCAAAAATGATTGAACTACATGTATTTTTGTAGATATAGTTCTACAAACTACAGAACATGGGTAAACTTCAAAACCAAGAAAAGGTCAAGTTGAAAATGAATCTGTGGAGTTGAACAGCATTTATGTAATTTAGAAACATACGTAAAATGCTATTAATATGTATCATACATGTGTCCATACATAGTAAAAACATAAAAGTAACAATATAAAAGATAACATAATACTCCTGATGATGGTTACCGCTGAGAGAGAAGGTGTGTCCTGAGGCCAGTTAGTATAGTTCACTGTATCTGTACTATTTTATTTCTTTAAAAAATACCCAATGACTTGAAACAAATGTGGTAAAATAAAATATATTAAAATTAAACATTGAGTACATAGTTGCCACTGTGTTTATGCTTTTTATGGTTGTAGATGGTCACTTCCTAAAAAGAACTTAAACTTTACAAAAGTTATGTGAAGTAGATTCCCTGTTGTTGTACCCATTTTATCAATTTAACTACGTTTGTCACAGTCCACAGCTAGGAAGTGGCAGAGCTGAGATTTGAACCTGTGTTTTGGCTCTGGAGCCTACGGTTTTAGCCAATGCTGTATATATATCTTCTCTTATGATTAAAAGCAACACCAGGTACATGGTGAGAGAAATCAATTAGAAATTTACAGAAGCATAAAAAATGATAAACCAAATTCTCCCCATCCATGACATTAATCATAATGTTGACTTCTCATAGTGGAGACGTCTTACAACCATTTTTGATTTTTGTTTATTTTGTAATTGCTAAATTTTGAAAATCATCAAACTTCACTGAAAAAAAGAATGATATGAAAATGATCACACCCCAACTTTCTTCTCTTTCCTTTCCTTTACAGCTCTTCATAATCTGTGACCTTCTTTCAGATACATTGATACGTTAATTATTTTATATTATCAAGAGCTGTAACATTTACATTGTTTTGTAATCATATATTTTTAATACTTTAATAAGTTATTCCAAAGCTAGGGAGTGAATTAAGAGCATTACGTTAGTATATGGAAATATTATTCAACATAAAACAGAAAATGATTTGAATCGTGGAACAGGAAACATATGCGATTTTACTAAACCTGTATGGCTAGCTAGAAGAAAAATCTTGAGACAGTTGAGAGCAATAAATTCTCTTCTATTCCATCAATGGCTCTGCCTACATTTTATTAAACCGGATCCTTGGAGGGTGGGGCTCTTGTTTACTATTGTTAGAACTCAGCTTAGGTTATCTGCTGCTAAGAATGAGAGGAAAAATTTCTCTCTTCAGGAATATGATAGGATTTTAATAAAATCACCAGCAAACACAAGCCACCAATATGGTTAAAACATATAAACAGTGATGTTTAGTGATTTATTTATTCTTCATATTTCCCCCTTGCCAAGTGAGGGAGAGCCTAGAAAAAAATCTGGATCATTATCTTAATTGTAAAACTATACAGTCAATGTAATCAATAATCACATCTGACCATATCACAACAGAAATTATTTTGAATGTTAAATCATGAATTTTTATTAAACTATCCCCATTAAGTTTATATGCTTACACAGCACCATACATTCAGCTCATTATAGTCGTGCACATGAAATCCATCCTCTCCTTGTCTCTTATCCATGAAGCCGATTATATTTATGAGTTTGCCTTGTAGTTTTATATGCAATCTTATCCTTTCCTAACTTAAGATATTATTTCCCACCTTTACTCTTGTTCCTGCTGTACAGTGTGTTAAACTTTTCCTTTCATGTGAGTCCTGCTCTAATTCCTTCCTCCCCAGAAGCCTTGATGGTCTAGATATGTTCAGCCTTTTGTAACGGTATCCTTCGATGACTTCATAATCCAAGTCTTTTATCCAACTGACCTTCTCTGTTTGTCATTGACAACCAGACCTATAATGCATCCCACCATTCTAGTGAATACATCTGTCCCTTGTGAATTTAGAGAGCCTTAATTCATTCATTAAATCATAGGCTCATTCAGTTAATCATTGTTTATTAAGAAAATTCTCTGCTCTGTGTTACATTAAGGTTTGGGGATTAAAAAAAATAAAGACTAAGACATAGTTTCTACGTATAAGGGGCTGAATGGAGACCCAAAAGATAGGTCTCCCTGCAACCTCAGAATGTGGTTTTATTTGGAACAAAGGTCTTTTCAGATGTAATTAAGGTAAGATTCCCGAGAGGAGATAATCCTGGATTAGGGAAGGCTCTAAATCCAATGACAAGTGTCCTTTTAAGAGACAGAAAAGGAGAAGACATGGGGTCACAGAAGAGGACACCATGTGAAGACAAAAGCAGAGATTGGAGGGATGTTGCCACAAGCCAAGGAATGCCAGGAGCACCAGCAGCTGGAAGAGACAGGAGGGATTTTCCACTAGAGCCTTTAGAGGGAGTGTGGACTGATGACACTTTGATTTTAGACTTATGGCCTCCAGAGCTGAGAGAATAAATTTCTATGGATTTAAGTTGTCACGTTTATGCTTATTTGTTATGGCAAAGCTGGTAAATTAATACAGTAGCTATGCCTTATGTAGTCTATGAGAGAAGACAGATATGCCCATAACTAACAAATATAGTAAAGATGGAAGAGCTATATTCATTCTGTTCATTGAGCAGCTTCTATGTGCCAAGCATTAGGGACACATCAGTGAACAATACACACTAATATCTCTACTCTCAGGGAGCTTACATTCTAGTGTGGAGGAGACAGGTACAAAACCAAACCAACCAACCAACCAACCAAACAAACTGTAGGGCAAATTCTATGAGGAAAGTTCTATGGGGAAAAAGAAAGCAGAAAAAGAGAAGTTTTGGGAGGGGAGGGTTGTCATTTTAAAAGAGGTGGTCAGAAAAATGTTCACTCAAAATATAACATTTGCACAAAGACCTAAAGGGCAGGTGGGAGCAAGCCATCTGAATATATTTTTGAGGGGTATAATATTGAGAACAGAAAATACAGTGGCCCTGAGGCAGCAACCACAATGGGACATATATGGTTAGCATGAAGTAAGCAAGGGAGAAAGTAGTGGGTGGTAAGATGAGACATGGGTGATGGTGATCATAGAAGGCCTTAAAGCCATAGCAGGGACTTTGGCTTTTACTCTTGAATTTGATGGGATGTTATAAGAAGGTTTTGAACAGAGAAGTTACATTGATTTGACTTATATATATATTTTTGAACATTTTCCCTTGAATACCACATACATGATATATCTGTCATATAAAATATGTACATATAAATATATTAAATATAAGTATAGTATACATATTTGTATGCTCATAAGTATATACCGTACTCCTTTCCCCTTCTCTCCTCCTTTTTCTCTCTCCCTGTGCTATTAATTAAAATAGCAACAATTTTACAGTTAATCACAGTCTGTTTCATAACTCCTGCACTGTTGTTTTACATCACAGGAACTTAATTTGTACTGCTGGGTAGAAAATATGCAGCACCTACTATTTGCCAGAAAATATTTTGGAGATTTACAAGTGATTAAGATACAGTGCTCAAGGTTATTTAATTTTGGACTTGTTTTGCTTTCCTACTGTTTAAAAAAGTTCCTCAAGGACAGTGTGCAGATTGAGTATCCCTCGTCTGAAAGCTTGGGACCAGAAGTGTTTTAGATTTCAGATTTTTCCAGATTTTGGAGTATTTGCATAGACATAATGAGATATCTTGGGGATGGGACCCAGGTCTAAACATTTATGTTTTATATATAGGCCTTATGCACATAGCCTGATGGTACTTTTTATAATATTTTAAATGACTTGTGCATGAAACAAAGTTTTGATGGTGTTTTGACTGTGACCTGTGATATGAGGTCAGGTGTGGAATTTTCCACTTGCGTCATCATGTGAGTGTTGAAAAAGTTCTAGGTTTTGGAGAATTTCTCATTAGTGATGCTCAAACTGTACCTTATTCCACTGTCTCTCCCAGTACAATACCTTTCCCATACTAGGTATTCAGTAAATACTTTTTGGCCAATAACTCATGTAACTGTGAGATGAGTTGCTAACATTTTTATCCTGAGTGTCAGTGTTATTTATAAGCTTCCCAAATAAATAGATCACTAGAGGTTAAAGATGTTCTCTAATTTTGAGGGTATTTGTATGCTTATGCTTATGGGATAATAAAACATTCAAACCTGTCGTATTCATTTCTTTTCACTGGTGTAACAAATTACCACTTTTTTTTGGTAATAATTTTTTTTTTAATTGTGAAAGTAGCAATTTTCTTATTCATTCTAACACATTTCTTTTTTGGTTTTATTTTATTTATTTCTTTATTTTTAATTTAATTCAATCTGTAAGTTTTGGGATACATGTGCAGGACGTGCTGGTTTGTTACATAGTTAAACGTGTACCATGGTGGTTTGCTGCACCTGTCAACCCATCACCTAGGTATTAAGCCCAGCATCTATTAGCTGTGCTTCTTGATGCTCTCCCTCCCCCTGCACTGCCTGACAGGGCCCAGTGTGTGTGTTTCCCCTTTCTGTGTCCATGTGTTCTCATTGTTCAGCTTCCATTTATAAGGGAGAACATGCAGTGTTTGGTTTTCTGTTCCTGTGTTAGTTTGCTGAAGATCATGGCTTCCAGCTCCATCCATGTTCCTGCAAAGAACATGATCTCATTCCTTATGGCTGCATCGTATTCCATGGCATATATGTACCACATTTTCTTTATCCAGTCTATCATTGATGGGCATTTGCTTTGATTCCATGTCTTTGCTGTTGTGAATCACGCTTCAGCGAACATATACATGCATGTATCTTTATAGTAGAATGATTCATATTCCTGTGGGTATATACCCAGGAATGGGATTGCTGAGTCAAATGGTATTTCTGGTTCCTGGTCTTTGAGGAATCGCCACACCATCTTCCACAATAAATTGCTGCAAATTCAGTGGCTTAAAACAATACCGATTTATTCCTGGACAGTTCTGGAGATCAAAGGTCTCAAGTCAGTTTCACTGGGCTAAAGTCAAGGTTTTGGCAGGACTGGTTCCTTCTGGAAGCTCTGAGGGGATACTCCATTCCCCTGCCCTTTTCAGCTTCTAGTGGCCCCCTGTATTCCTTGTCTCATGGCCCCTTCCTCTATCTTCAAAGTGCATCCCTCTGCTGCTGTTATCACATCACCGTCTCCTCTTCGGCATCTCCCTCTGCCTTTTGCGTGTAAGGATCCTGTGGGCCCACCTGGATAATTGAAGACAATTGCTCCATGTCAAGATCCTTAACTTAAACACATCTGCAAAATCATTTTGCCATGTGAGAGAACGTAGTCACCGGGTCTGGGGATTAGGATGTGAACATCTTGTTGGGAGGGGTGGCATTTTGTCAGCCTACCACATTTGGCTAATGTAAATTCAAACAGAAAGGCAAAATTGAAGAAACGTAACTTGACATACTGACTCACTCTACCATACCGTACTCTGAAGGATAAACAAATCTGCAGATAAGCAAATGTGGGAAAATCATGAGGGTTGCAGAGGGCTCATCTGCTAGGTAGTCAGTGGCGTTTGGTGATGCATGATGATTAATTACAATCTGCAAAGGCTGTCCCAGATGTGAAGACCTCATAAAGCCAGAGATGGCATCAATGGTTTATTAGTTTTCTTGATGGAAGCACCTTAAACAGATGTGGCCTAAATGTCCATTTTTCAACTATTTCTGTTTAACAACTGGGGGCTTGCATGCATGTTTGTCAAACCTCTCTATATATGCGAGGGTTTTTTCTTAGAAAGTTGTGTGTACACTAATTTTTCAAAAGTTAAATCCTCATTTGAATGAACCCTGTTAACTCTTACTCAAGAATAGTAAAGCAAATCTTTCTAATAAGTGAATTATGAAGGTTACTTAAGGAGGGCTCATATGTATGTTCTGAATAAAAGGGATTTTAGGAAAAATCTATTTCGTTTTGATTAAAAATTCACATTAAAATCTAGCATTTTCTGAACAGTACACTGTATGGCAGGTTTGTTGATACAGTATCCTATGTGGTAGAACTTGTCAGATATTAGGCAGAAACCACGCAGAAGAATCCATTACTATGTCAATTTTGATAATTAAACACAATCTTCTCCCACTGAGAGCACACATGCTTCAGAGGTAACACATTCAGGTACCAGTGCCTTAAAGCAAGGATGACTTACTTCTTGACTGGAGGTGCTGGGCATTGAGAAATTCTTGAGCTCTAAGGAGGAAAAAAAATGCTACAGAAGAAGATGGGTGTGAGTTGATGAGGTGCAGGAGGACTGAGCACTAACTTCACTGTCTAGGCCTGGTGCACGTAGCAGCTGACACCCTAGCTGCGGAAGGGAGAAGGAATCAAGGAACTTCGCTAGGTCCCCTAATATCTTGTGGGTAGGCATAGCCATACATTTAGGATCTTAGTGGAAGAATCCCTCAGAGTCATATGCTTATTTATTCCCAGCTGGCAAATATGACTGAAAAAAAATCTCTCCACACAGCTCAAGCTCGTTTCTTGCTGAGTCTCCTAAGGATGAATAATTCCTGCAGTTCTTTCTTCCCTTCTCCCCTTCATTGCTCTGTCAGAAAGCTTATTAACGTATGTATATTCCTGGCTTTTCCACTATATGAATGATTCAGAAACAAATAAAAATGTCAAGTTCTCCATGGCTTACTGGTAATATTAAAATCTACCAGTTTCTATTAAATTTCCATCAAATAGTATTATTCAGAGACAAACGATCAATTAATCCCTGTTCTTCTGCTCCCGAAAAACACTGATCACAGGACACCCAGTGATGTGAGCTCTTATTTAATCAACAGAGTCAATGGTGCCCTGGAACACAGGAGAAAATGAGACCCAGACATAAAGCCTTGAGCCATGCCCTCTTTATCAACTCCACACATTATGTGAGAAAGGCCAGTTCAGAAGGTTTGATAGATACTCACTCAAGTATGCCATTTCATAAGGAAGAAGAAGTTATTTCCAGATTTGAGTGAACAGCTTTCAAAGAAATGTATGACTTTATTTTATGCGACATAGGCTACCTTTATAGAAGGAGTAACCACCCCTTTTATAGCAGGACTAATGCGAAAGAAAAAGACTTTTTCATCATTACTTCCAACTACTCCCTTGGCACTTTTACAAGGAGAGCTGGGCAGTTATTGTTTCCGTCTCAAGATAAACGTAAGGAGAAGTATCAATAAAAAAGTAATTATCATAATGATAATTATAATAACCCAAACCAAAATAATAACAATGAAAGTAATAATCATAAAAAACATTATTACATCTTTTTTCTTTAGGTCTTTCACCCACTGAATCTTTTTAATGTGTAGGAGCTGTGAGTTTTCATCCATTCTGCCTTAAGCAGTAATTGCATTTGATTTGGCCTGCACAATTTTACCCATAATATTAGAAATAGAAGAGAGTCATGCAGTGTGCTTATTATTGGTTATTATTAAAGATCGGGATCAGTGCCTTATCATGGGGAGCCATCAGACTGTCAGCAACAGCTTCCTTTCACTCACTTTCAGACTGCTGTGATACTCAATCCAACTCTGATTTAAACCTAACGTCTGGCTGTTTTTAACTGAGAAAACCACTTATTGGTCTCTCCTCCTTGGGCTCTGATTTTGGCTTCTTATGTGGCTTATTCCGTCACTTTCACCCCCTGCATTCAGTAGCTACCCTAATCAGAATAGAACCTATGCCACATCCAGAAGGAAATGTATCTTTGTAATAGATATATCAACGATTTCCCCTTCTCTGGATGGGCCCTGGTTTGCAAGGGTGTCTGTCCCTGGAACCCAGGCCCTGTGGCCCTTGCTGATTGGTTTTGGGTATAGACATCTGAAAGAAACGCTGCCAATCATTGCACTTCTGTGGATTTTCATGTGGTGGTCACCAAGGGGAGTCTCTCCCTGGCTGTGAGAGCCATAGGAGCTCAGGTGACTGTACTTTCTACAATGTGGAGGAAGCTAGGCTCCAGGAGAGATGGAAGCAGGCCTGAAAAACAAAGACAATGAGAGCCCAGGCAGCTTTCAAGTTGTCTCTGAGGCTCAGTTTTACCCTACCCTTCCTGCGTCCTACAAGATTTTCTCATATACTTTGGACAGATTCCCTTTGCTTTCCAAGTTAATTTGATTTGGACATCCTTCTTTGTAAGTTGATGAATCTTAATGAATTAAGTCTTGTTCAGGTAGTGGTTCATAGGATCATAGGACCAAAGGTCTGGTGGTGTGGTGGGTAGAAACTAGCAATTGTGAATGTTTTACTGCTTTTGTAGGTTAGAGGACAGTCAAGGTTATATGTATAATTGAACATTATTTATACTTTCACACATTCTAACATGTTTTCTGGAAGATGCGAGAGGGAGTGGTGTTATGGTAGGTGCCTGGGAGTTGTGTGGATTCTGTGAAAATGTGTCATGCATCTGGAAGATGTGGCCTTCTTGATGTCCATTGCCGTAAGTTTGCTGAGTGCTGCAGCCTATTCTGGGATCCAGAATCTTCATCCAATTTGTCCATTGGATCCACCTGGTTAGGACATCCATTTTTAGAGATGTATGAAATATTATTTAAGCTCTCACTTTTATAAAGCCAATAGTGTATAATAAAATGTTTTGGGGGGAGTTCCTCTTTGAGCACATTCTTGGGAATCAGGCATATCTTGGTTTGTCTAATGGGCTAGAGTGGTAAGGTTGCCTGGAGTGTTTGCAGTGGGAACTGAGATCATTGTAAGGAAAGGAACAGTCAGGATGAGCCCAATAGCAAGGTGTCAGTGGTCTGAGAGGAGGGACTGAGAGCCATACAGTATGGTAGTCCAGTCTTCATGGCCTCTTGTATGACAGAGTGATTCTATTATACATACAAAGGAAGAGAATATCATAAAACAAAAAGTTCCCCAAATAACCCAAGATTTTAGATGATCCCTTCCCCGACAAGAAGCTCTGTAAGGCATTGTTTTTCAGGGCAGGATTCCTGTGGTTCCCTTTTAAAATCCAGAAGAGGAAGAGAGCCATTCTCCTTTCTTTTGTATGGAAGACAGCCTGGCTGTGGTATTTTGAGGACTCTGGAAGACAGGGATGATCCTGTGTTTCCTACTCCTGTGTTTCAGTGGGTGATGAGAGCCAGCACATGGCAGCAAATCCTGCATATCTTCTGGGAACTACAGAAAATAGCTGGAAGACCTTGACGAGGGTTGGAGGTCTTGTAAGGTGAGTGAATCAACAGATGGGGGAAAATGGCTACTGCTTTATTGAGTGCTTGTCATTCACCCAAGTGACCTATGTGTTTTATAACTTCCCATCTGCCAGAATGCAAACTAAAATATTAGGGGTTGATATTTCTCTTCTGTTTTCTGGCCAGCATGTGTTCTCAAATAAGGATAGGCTAAAGTTCTTTTCCTCTTCAGGGAAAGAGGGAAAGTGGAGGAGAGGCTAATGCTAGGTTAGAAAATGGAAGACAACCTTGGCTCAGGAAGCAGGAAGGCAGAGACCCAAGTACTCTTCCAGCCTAGTTTCTCCACCAATGACAAAATGGGTACTAGTTAATTCTTTGTCTTGGAAATCTTGGTTATACATAGAACTCAGAATTATCTCTGTTAATATAGAAACCAGAGAAGACATTTGCCATCAAGTGCTAACAAGCTGTAGCTAGGATAGAGGTGGATTTGAGTTTCATAGCTGGACTCCTAGTACTTGCAGCCAGCTAGTTGCACAGACTGGCCCTATCATTTGAGTACCCTTTCAACATGACTTATATTTATATGCCCAGTTGAACTTTGGGGACCCTATTTATTACATTACAGTTGAGTTTTAGTCTTCTCTACAGCTCTGTGAAGTAGGCACTACTTTTATTCCCATTTTACCAGCATGAAGTTCTAAGATTAAGTAATTTGCTCAAAAGCACACAGCTAGCAAGTGTGAACTCAGGCAATCTAAGACCATAATGTGCTCTTTTAAAGAAATTCTTTATTAGTGAGTAATATACACATAGAAAAGTATACATGTCCTAAGTATACAGGTTGATAAACTTTCATAAACTGAATACCATTTGTAATCAGCACCTAGATGAAGAAATAGATCATTACCAGCATCCTGGGAGCCCTCTCATGCCCCTTTCTAGTCACCATCCCTGACAAGGGCAACTGCTCTCTTGACTTGTAATTGCATAAAGTAGTTTGACAGTTTTTGTACTTCATATAAATGGAATTTTACAATATTCTTTTCTATGTCTGGCTTCTTTTATTCAACACTGAAAATCACTCATGCTCCAGCATGTTGCAGTGATATCCATGCTGTTTTAGTTGGTTCACTCCTGTTGCTGTAGTGTTTACTCGTTTGAATATACTCTGTTCATTATACCATTGGTGGGCATTTGGGTAGTTTTCAGGTTTGGACATTGATGACAGTACTGCTACAAATATCCTAATGTATACCTTTTGTAAATGTATTTATACATTTCTGTTGGGCATTTACCTAGGAGTGGAATTGCTGTGTTGTACACAGCACATGTATGTTTATGTTCATCTTCAGTAGGTGCTGGCAACCAGTTTTCCAAAGTGGTTGAACCAATTTACTCTCCCACCCGCAGTGTGTGGAAGCAATGGTTGTTTTATATTCTTGTCAGCACTTGGTATTTTCTTTCTTTTTCATTATAGACATTTTGGTGGATGTGGAACAGTAGATATCATGTTGTAGTTGGTTTTAATTTTCTTTTCCCTGTACATTTGCATGTGTTTTTTGGTGATTCTATAGTCTCTTTTGTGAAGATTCTGATCTAGTCTTTTGTTCTTTTTCCTATTGTGTTATCGCTTCTTATTACCACTGTGCAAGAGTTACCTATAAATTGTGGATGTGAATCCTTTGTTGGATACGTATTGTGAATATATTCTCCCCTTCTTTGGATTGTCTTTCATTTTCTTATGGTGCCCTATGAAGACTCTATGAAGAATGGAAATGTACCGAAACTTTAACACAGTATAGTTTACGTATTTTTTTTTTATTGCTAGCACTTTTTACAGTCTCTTTCAGAAATCTCTGACTACCCCAAGGTCATGAAGGTATTTTCTTCTGTTTACTTTTTACATTTTTATCTGTAATCTATCTGGACTTGATTGGGATGCATAGTGTAAAGTTGGGAGTAAAGGTACATTTTTTTTTCCATATGAATATTCAGTTGGTCCAGTACCATTTATTGAAAAGCCCATCTTTTCCCCATAGCACTCCAGTGTCACTTTTGTCATAAATCAGATAACCTTAGAGGTGTAAGTTTGTTTTGGACTCTGTTCTGTTTTGTTGGTCAGATAGCCTTCTTGTCCACAGACTGTTCTTTTCACCACTGTGCTGTTTATATGAACCAATTTATACTTGCCCGGTTTGTGTGACTTGGAGAAATATGGGTTACATACAATATTTTAAATATTGTCTCACAAACTCATTTGCACACAATAAAGTAAAAATAATATATAGGGTGATATAATATTATTTTTAAATTAATTTTCATCTTTTCCTACTAAATAAATCATACTTTATTTCATTTGTTTAAGAGAAGTGTCTGCATTCTAATTCTTCCTGAGTTTTCTCTTATTTTTAATGGATTTCCAATCATCTGCTAGTTACCTTCTTTCTTTTCATGCTGGTCCAAATTTAACTCACTTCTGGGTTGAAATGGGCATAAATTCTCAGAAACTCCATATTTATTTGTTGAAAACATACATTTTAACTATAGAAAGTTTATTAACTTTATTTCTGAATTTCCCAATTTGCTACTGTGCAGATCTACGCAACACTGAAATGCTGAACACTGCATCATTGAGCTTCTTTTTTTTTTTTTAAAGTTTATAACGTTTTTATTTGATTTGAGTATTATACAATATATTAATTGGAGGCTTGGACACAGTATTGTCACTGCTCATGTTACAGTTCAACAGCATCTCAGTTGATTCGCATGGTTGGCAAATAGCCATTACTGGTTAACTGAATTAATCAGATTTTTGGTGAAAATGCACAAAGCAAGGATCCTTCTAAAACTTGTCTCTTCAGAACTTTATGCACCATTTTGGCTTTACTTCAGTTATAGTGGTTCTAATACGTCTTATAAATGCTTCTTTACAATTTTAATAGAAATAATCCTGTGTGGTTTTGAAGCATTTTTCAAGGAGTGGTAATTTGTGATTTACTGATTTATTAATTGAAAATCTGCATTAAGTTTTAAAAATGCCTGATGTAGATAACTCAGGTCTGAAAGGAATTTTTCACCTTATTTTCTGTGATTTATCAGTAGGAGGGGTTATATAGATAATTTATGCTTTTGATGGGAAGTAGAAAACTTCCAGTTTGATGATTAACTGAAAATATCTCCCATTTTGCAAAGTCATTGACTCATTATTGCATTGTTAAACTTCTCTTTTCTCCCACTCCCAACCATAGCAGTCTGCAATCTTCCTGATAACTGTTTACTTATTTGGGTGTTACTTGGCAGTGTGTTCCATATAATATGGAAAAAAAAGCTGCTGCTCTTTCTACATGTGCAGTTTAAGGGTAAGCAAAATTAAGAGTTGGCAAGATGTGAGCAAACCTTAAATGAACTTCTCCACCCCAGCTTTCTCCCTGAAGATATTCTTTGCAAAAGAACATAATGAATCTTTATTTTATTTTATTTTACCTTTTTTGAGAGGGAGTTTCTCTCTGTCACCCAGGCTGGAGTGCAGTGGCACGATCTCAGCTCACTGCAACCTCTGCCTCCATGGTTCAAGTGATTCTCCTGCCTCAGGCTCCCAAGTAGCTGGGATTACAGGCTCCCACCACCATGTCCAGCTAATTTTTGTATTTTTAGTAGAGACCGGGTTTCACCATGTTGGCCAGGCTGGTCTCAAACTCCTGACCTCCGCCTGCCTCAGCCTCCCAAACCGCTGGGGTTATAGGTGTGAGCCACCGTGCCCAGCCCATAATGAATCTTTATATTGTCTCCTTTCAGATTATAAATGTCAATGAGATAAAGGTGACTAACATTAGAATTTAACTTGGATCAAAATTCAAAAAAATTTAATGCTTCTGTGAACCTTAGTTATAACTTAAAGTAGCCATCAGGTACTACTCTCCTGTGTTCAGCAAGGTATTGTTCTATTTTTATGAAGGGGCCTCAAGTACTGATACAATAATTCATATTATTATGTAAAACATTTATTTTATGGGCAGGGAAGTCCATGAAAATCTTGGCCAGTGTCATATAAGTGGAAGTATAATGTGAAATGTCTCAGATATCTCTTTGCAAAGGGAAGGCCTTTATCCTATGACTAGGATCTTGGATGTGATGGCTGAAGCATAAACAGCTATCTTGTTACTATGAAGATGAAGGGCGCATCTTGGGGAGTTGGAAGGGAGGGTTAGAAAGAGCCTGGGTCCTAACCATGTCAGTTCAGGACAGCTGCCTCCAGAACTCCATCTCTATTTTGTTCAAGACACTTCTTTGGGTTTTCAGTTATATGCAGCTGATCCTTACCTTATAGAAATACTATTTTAATATGGATTTAGGCTGGACTGTTTCTGACAATAGTGTTTTTTTTTTTTTTTCTTTAGGAGGTATGGGTCCCTTGTGTGTGTGTGTGTCCTTGCACATACTTTGTTCAATACTTACCTACCACAAGGCTATAAGAAGAATTAAGGCAAATATAAACATCTCTGGCAGAGAGATCTTGAATGGTGCTAGACTTGGGGTAACAAAGCCTACTTGGACTGTTTAGCTGAAGCTTTTCATGATATTATTCTCAATTAATTAACTTAGGCTTAGGGAAAGGTAGGGTTGAAGGCTATTTTTGCTTTAGAATGCCCCCTGGGGAGGGAGAACACATGCTAAATCATGGCTATCTCCTCTGAGTAGAAGACTGAATTTTCATGGATGGAGATGTGCAATGGAAAAAAATGAAGAGTGGATATGTTTCAGAGAGGAGGAGAGGAGGTTGATTCTTGAGACAGTGTGTCTACGATGGCAGCTGAGGAAAGTTCTGGCTTTATGCCTTTTAAAATTTGCATTTTCTTAGCATGGTGGTAGCACTGAAGTTTTAAGTTTTTAATCTTCTGCTTCGCAATTTGTCTGGTTGCTTATACGTTCTCAGTACCTAAAACTTGTTTTGTGAAACCTCATGTTGTGGTGGAAGGGAATTAAGAAATTAGACCATAAGGGAAAGGATGAGCTTTCCTGTATCAGCCCTTGA